TATGAAAATTATTATGTTTATCATGAGTCTTTTTAGTTTTCTTAAAATCACTATAATACTTGTTCTTGAAATATTTTGGCTTATCTGGAAGCATGCAGCTTTAAGACTCCCAAAGGTCATCTTTTCTTTGTATTACATACATTTTTTAATTCTTTTTTTTTAATACCCAACTTCATGCATGGAATTTGTGTACTTTAATTCTCTCTTTGTTTTCAAGGTCAGATGAAGATTTTCAAGGAAATGTTTTGTCAAACTGCACATTTTCCAAAATTCTTGCCCCAGGATTGCGGTTGGGTTGGATAGAGGCACCACCTAGAATCATGAAATATATAGAAACAAGGTAGTATAATTGTACACTATTGTCATTTTATTCTCGTAAAAATTGCTGATCAGTATTAAACATATTTTATGGCAATTTTGTTGCTGAGTGGTTAAGATGGCTATCCTAATGTCTTGCATATCATAATGTTATACTTGGGATATCCCCTCAGCCGGGGGATACAATTTCTCCTATGTGATCTGAAATCCCACCAGAGAAACAAGAAAATATTGTCGTAAACAAAAAGATGAAACTAGTCTAGCTGCTGCCAAAAGAAAAATGTGGTTCTACTCATTTTGCCCACTTACTTACATTTATACATAAAGGAAAATAATGTAATCTTACTATTCTGTTAATTTGCAATATAAACTCAGTTATATTGCTGTGACTTAAAACTTAGCCTATACATGCCATAATGTTCTGACAGTCAAGATTGTCCCAGAAATGAGTTGACTGTCATGGAGGCATCCAGGATTGACCCAGAAATGAGTTGACTGTCATGGAGGCATCCAGGATTGTCCCAGAAATGAGTTGACTGTCATGGAGGCATCCAGGATTGTCCCTGAAATATGTTGATTGTCATGGAGGCATCCAGGATTGTCCCAGAAATATGTTGATTGTCAAGGTGGTTTCCAGGAGATGATTTATTGCCCATTCAAATAGAAATCTAAAATAACATCCTTGGCATTGAATATACAAAATTGTATATTCTATAATGTTGATATCTTCACATACACCAAGTCAAGTCAAGTCAAATAGTTTATTGGCATAAACATTTTACACGTTCATCGCCAAGTTATATGAATGGCGGTTTATAATTTAACATAAAACATTGCATATACAAATACAATTTTTGTAATAAATACAGTCATGTACAAACATACATAATATTTAAGTACAGAAAAGTATGGTGATGGATATAATTACAGGCAAATAACAGTGAAACACAAAATACAACATTGATTTTCAGATTAATATTGTTTGTAAATAAAGAAAAAAAAAATTAACAGAAAACTAGACAGTATTTCTTTTTTCAAATGATAAGTGAATATATTTAGCTAATTTTATCATAACGTTTTAAGAAGAAGCAGTCATTATACTTTTAAATTTGTTTATATTTGGCCAAGTATAATAGTATCTTGGTAAATAAAGTGCTCTTAAATCAGAATAATATGGACATATCAATAACAGATGATACTCATTTTCAACCACTTTCATATTACATTTCACACATAATCTATTGTTTCTATCTTTATTTCTGAAGCGACCTTCCTCTATAGCTAATCTATGAGCCGAACATCTAAATCTTGAAAGGGATTTTCTATGTTTATCATTTGTTATAATACTAAGATATTTTTCATAACCAAAATCAGTTTTAATTTCTTTATAAACTTCTAATTTTCTAGATACACGCAGTTCAGCATACCAATTTTGCATATTTTGATCTTTAATACGTTGTATAATACTATTTAATTGAGAATTATTTAATACTAAGTTTGGATCCCACAAATATTATAATGTAAACCAAGCGAATTTAACAAACGTTTTACATTTAATGTCCAGGCATTGACTAAATTATCATTCTGGTCTTTTAAATACATAATTTTATACATAAGTGTACCTGGGGTTTTCCTAATTCTAGACCAAAATTTTATTATTCTGATATTACGAATGACTGATAATGGAAATTTACCCAATTCTCCATAAACGGCAATATTTGTTGTTTGTTGACGAACTCCTAAAATCTGTTTTAGGAACTTAAGATAAACGCGCACTATGTCTGGGCTATTATGAAAACCCCAGATTTTACATCCATATGTCAATATTGGTAAAACCATTGATTCAAAAAGTTTAATTTTTTCAGTAACATCAAGATTAACTACATCAAAAAGAGAATTCAGTGAATACAATGCCTTTGTCGCTTGATGGGACAATACCTTTTGAGTTTGATAGTAGCTTCCATTTGCTGATAATGTGACACCTAAATAAGTAATTTTTTGTACAACCTTAATCTATTCATTATTTTAAAAGAACTCAACATTATCATTCCTGTTGCCGGTTTTAAAAACCATTGTGACAGTCTCATCAACATTAACAGTTAGTCCCCATTCAGTACAGTATTGGTTTAATTTGTTAAGAAGTAATTGTAAACCTTCCTGTGTATAAGAAAATAAAACAGTATCATCGGCAAATAATAACAAAAATATCTGCAATTCATCTAGAGTAAAAACATCAATTGCTTCATTCTCCATAAAATCATTCATATCATTGACGAAAAATATAAATAGAAGAGGAGAAAGGGGTTCTCCCTGTTTAACGCCCATATAGCTATCAAAATAATCAGTTAGTGACCCAGAAGCTCGAACACATAATTTAACACTATTATACATACTTTGTAATATTTTGATAATCTTACAAGAAATTCCATAAGTTATCATTTTATACCAAATACCATTTCATGTAGACAAGGTCAAATGCTTTTTGAAAATCAACAAATGCTGAATAAACCTTAATTTCTTTTTTCATGTTTAATTATTTTATTTATGATGGATGTCAATACAAAGACACAATCTACATTTGATTTACCAAAAGTATATGTATATGTATGTGTTCTTAAAAACAAATTGAACATACAAAAAAAAAATGTTGCATTTATTTCACAGTTTGGTTTTTATTTAATTGCTAGTTAGTTTCCTTTAAGAACAAAATTAAACATACTTTATTTTATTGACCTCCCTTTATTTGCAGAAATTGATAAATACAACCATATCTGTGTAATGCTTTCTTTAACTTCTGATATTGGTAATTCTTCATTTGGATAAATGGGCTATCATAAAAAAAGCATAAAATTTAAGGATACATTTACAGGGACTTTAAGTAAGCTCCAATAATGTTGTCCTTAGGTTAGTCTGGTCCGACTGAAAGAGCTCATTACTTTCACATCGATTTATTTAATAAGTCTCTTGTCACCAAGATTTCGCATCTAACATTGTTAATTACTTTTTTAACCAAGGTTAAGAAATCGAACTTCCTAGACTTTTCCATGTCGTCTGCAAATATATTGTGCAAAACTATTGATTTATATTGAATGGGGTTTCAGTTATTGCACATGGGCATCCAACTAGAATTCCCTAGGTGTTTCTTATTGTTAAATGTCACAAGTTCTTCAAGACAACTTTAAACAACAGGAAAAACTTCAAAAAAAATATAAATCAATGTACTATTTTAACTGCTGTGTTGCATAGAAAACAAATGTCTCTGTGATTTGATGATTTTACTAGTAAAAGAGGACTATTCTGGACGAAAATGATAAAAGGTCGGAAAACTGCTATAGGCCGGAAACTGCTAGGAAACCAGTAAATACCTTATGTTTGTATCATGTATGATGCACTGAGAGAAATAAAAAATTTGAATTTGAATTTGGTTAAAGTTATTCCCCATAGGTAAAGATTTGCTCTGCTCTAAACATAAACCAGAAATATACATACACTGTAATGTAGGTCCATGCATAAACTTACTGTCTTGAGACTAAATTATACATATAACCAAAAAACATGCCTTGAAAATTAATGACTTTGAAAATAAGCTGTCCTAGAAAATACACTAATAGCAAAACAAAAATTGAAATAAAGATTTAAGGGAATAACTATTGAAATGTTTTTATTTTTATCATATTTTAATACTGGTAGATCTACTATTTTATTTGTTTTCAGTAAAGTGGCATGGAGTGGGGGCTCGTTTAATCATTACACATCAAAGGTTGTGGCAACAGCTTTGAAGAAGGGTTTCTTAACATCACATGTGCAACTACTGAGAAAAGACTACACAGTAATGATATGATTTCTGTACCCCATCCCCTTTTAAGATCAATGATATAATTTTTTTCTACACAACCCCTTTTAAGCTCAATGACAGTAATTTAAAATTTTGATTGCACCAATACAAACTTATTGTTTGGATATTCTTACAAGATAACATTTTAACAAACAAAAATGTTGATATGTTTGAGTTCTAAGTGATTTAGAATGAGCATTTATATGATTAATAATGATATTTTGTTTTAGAACAATTTATTATCTGCTTTACATGAGTATGTGATACTGGATCATGTATGTATGTATGTATGTATCTCACACAACAACATCTATATATAATTATTTGGTGGTTTGTTGTCACACAAAACACTAAATACTATCAACATAATTATCATAAGTATTAAACTTTTGTCTTGCACTTACATAATTATTAATGGTATAACATTATTTCCATTATGGAGCAAAATCACTTTAATAAGATGTGTTGAGATAAATTGATATATGTGCTAGCTATAATACATTATTTTGTTTTCCAGGAGAGAATGCAGGTTGCTTGTGAAGTACTGTCTCAAAAACTTCCAGAATCAGTGAAGTATATAAAACCAGAGGGAGGTTTCTTTATATGGCTGGAGTTACCTGCCCATGTTGATGCCATGGAACTTTTGCAGCTTGCTGTTGACAAATATAAAATTAACTTTATATTTGGTGCAAGGTGAAAAAAAATACGAATTGTCTTTTACTTTCTAAAAATAGTTAAAATAAAATAAACATAAAAAAAACCCAAATATTTTGTAAAAATATTTAATCATTGAAATATTTGACAAAAAGAAATAGAAATATGAAATAATTGATAGGAAAAAAGAAAAATAAATAATTTGGAGGGATCATTTTATTTGCAAGTTTCATAACTATGGCATCCATTTTTAACTTTTCATTAGTGTTCACTTAGTAACGCCCAGTAATTTAGGGTCTCTATTGCCAAGTGGTTGAGGTCTTCCAGACTTAGGACGACTTGCCCCTCACCGCTGTGGTTTCTTATCCAGTCAGCTTTTTGGCTTCTTTCATGTGAGGAAACTATCCAGCTAACTTACGGAAGGTTGATGATCATACTAAGGTTCTTACTCGTGCCTGAAATAATGTCTGAAGGGGCCCCAGAGTCAAGTGGTTACTGCAGTCAGACTCTCCACCAGTAAAGCACTATATGACCTGTACAGTGTATGTGTGACTTAAATCAAACAAAACAAACAAATTTACTTAAAAATGTCTTATATTATCACCGTAGGGAACGTGTTACAGTATCGCGTTTTTCGGTTACAGTATAGAATTTTCAAGATGGAGGATTATTTATGGGAAGAGAGGTAGGTGATTTTTATTCAGGTCCATACTATACTAGTAGTTTAGTTTCTAAAATATGTTTTTGTGCTTTGCTTGTAAGGAACAGAATCCGGTATCTAGTCATATATTTCTTCAGACCCTGCACCGCAGATTTATCTCTAGATTGTCTCATAAATGTGCAGATTTGACGGTTTAAAAATTTGAATCGAGAGACCAACGCATTTTTCTCCCATTCCGACATTATTTAAGCATGACTAGATAAAGTAAATCTACAAAACGTTTGTCCTTTATGTTTAGAAACGTTTATAAAAGTAAATGACCAGTTGAACCTATTTTCCTGTTGGTAAAATGCGTTTGAAAAAATAAACAATGTTACAGTATAGAGCGAGGTTAATTTTGAAGGGTTACAGCATAGACCTAGGGACTTTCATCCAATTTTGTTACAGTTTATACCCAGATTTCTGTTACAGTTTAGATACTTGCCAAATTTCAAACAAAGTTCGTGTATCCATTATTTTTATGAAATAACTCATACCTTTCTATTTAATACAGTGAGTTGGCCAATAACGGATCACTAGTGAAACTTTTAGTGTTTATGAACGAATGATTTTTAAATTCTTAAATAAATGTATGTAGATTTGAAGTATTTTTATTCCTCTTTTACTGTATACTTCTTGTGAATTTGTATTTTGAATGCATCATGGTGCATTTACCTTTTTAATATTCTTGAAAGGCTGTATTACTTTTTTTCTTCAGCAGAAAAGTTATAGTTTGCTATTTTTCTTACTTTAAGTTTCAGATTGACTTCACGACAACAACAGTAACTTTTATTGAATTGTAGTGAGAGAAGAAAGATTATTGCTTGATATCATTACACATTACACATTATAATAATGCCTATTAGTAATAAAATAGAGAAAAAATAATCCTTAACAGAAGTCCAACACGGAAAACATGAAAATGTTGCAGGCTCCATTTGATTAAACCTGTTCATGGACGGTAGTGGTAACTGCAAGCTACCGTCCACGCCCCTAGCACCGGCTTCAGCAGAATTCACATTAAACATGAACTGGTACACTTCAGATTTTTTAACATCTGTGGATGTGTTCATATGGCGGTTATCATGGTACCTTCAATGTGTCACGTTATTGCCATTCTGTGGAAAGCGGCATATTACCCCAGGTTAAAAAGTGTGTGTGCCCTAAACGAGAATACAATGAGTGAAACTAAACAAAATGAAATTTGAGAGGGGATCGGAGGTCATGAAGCTTGCATACCATAGATAAGCTGTCAAAAGACACAATTAATAGGCAGGCAATACCCTAAGAATGATTAAACAGTATTTAAGTGAGCAATACTACAACCTTTAATTTTATTTTAAGTTGGAATTTCCATCTACCATAATGTATTTTGTAGGTATTTAAAAGGGTTTTGAATATTTTCAATTTTGTTGTGTTAGAATTTCTTTAGGGATTCTGTTTAACTCTATTTTGTTACGTTTGGCTTTCTTGGATTTTAAGTTTCAACGACACTGAAGTCATATGAAAACATTTCTGCTTAAGTGTAAAGAAACACCCAAGATACCCTTTGTTAAACATTAAAGACACGAGCGGGCACCTGACTAGAACCACCGACCTTCCGTAAATTAGCTTGATAAATTCCTCACATACAAAGAATCCAAAGTCATGATTGGATTTCAACTACAGCAGTAAATGAAAGATGATTTGAAGTCGACGGCCTTATCCCGACTCTGTCACTATTATGTACCTCCATCCGGCTCACTAGAGAAAATATTGTAATTGTCTGACCTTAATTTATACTCTTTAACGTTCAATATTATTTTCTTTTTCAGAAAATTGAAAACTGCTATACACCGGTACAGGATGTCTGAAATAAAGAAAAACGACTTTTAATTTAATAATGACAAAATAATCGTAACTTCAACAAAGAAGCATTCGAAATGACGCAATGATCATGATTTGATTTGAATGCTTTTGGTTCGAGATGAGAAGGGTTTTTAAACATTGCCTCTTTTCAAAATCTATGTTTTGGGTTTTCGTATCCCCGATTGCAACCGAAACCATTTGAACAACTTAATTGGTAGAAAGTCATGTAAATTTCATCACATTTAGTCAAGTAGTTACTGAGCGGATGAGATTGCACACACATATGTACGACAGACGGACGAATAGCCATCGGGCCAATAAGCTCACAGAGATTTAAAAGTCTATGTAACATTCATACATTTTACCAAGTATATATAGAAAATATCGAAGTCTAAACTGTAACCGAAATCTGGGTATAAACTGTAACAAAATCGGATACAAATCGCTAGGTCTATGCTGTAACCCTGCACAAATTACCTCGCTCTATACTGTAACATTGTTTATTTTTTCAAACGCATTTAACGAACAGGAAAATAGGTTCAACTGGTCATTTACTTTTATAAACGTTTCCTAACATAAAGGACTAACGTTTTGCAGATTTACTTTTTCTAGGCATGCATAAATAATGTCGAAATTGCAGAAAAATGTGTTGGTCTCTCGATTCAAATTTTCAAACTGTCAAATCTGCATATTTATGAGACAATATAACGATAAATCTGCGGTGCAGGGTCTAAAGAAATATATGACTAGATACCGGATTCTTTTTCTTACAAGCAAAGCACAAAAACATCTTTTAGAAACTAAACTACTTCCAGTATGGACCGGAATAAGAATCACCTACCTGTCCTCCCAACAAATAATCCTCCATCTTGAAAATTCTATACTGTAACCGAAAAACGCGATACTGTAACACGTTCCCTACGGTGATTATGTATACTTTTCAATTAATATCTTATTCACCAAAACACATATATTTTCTACATTTTCAATTGTAAAATCAATTATTATTTTTTTGTTTCCATATTTACAGCACATCACCAACAGGAAGTTGTAAGAACTGTGCCAGGTTGTCTATAAGTTTCTGTAACAAGTCACAGATACAAGATGGTGTCACAAAGTTCTGTGATGCACTCAAAGAAATGATGAACACATAAATTGAGACCATTGAAATACAATATTTTAATGTGAATCAATCAGCTATATACTCAAGTGCAATAGTAACATGTTTTAAAAATGTTGTGATAATTTGTTTTTACCTAAATAGTTAGGGATTTTATATTGATTAGATTTTATAACTGTTGTAGGTTCAAATCTTGCTGCAGCTTTAGATTCATTCTTATAAGGAAGCTATGTAGCTTGCTGAAATAAGGTTGATGGTTTTACTTGAGTGTCTGCTTATGCCTAAAATAATGATGAGGTTTTCCTACATCGGTATAGCTGCAAAGACATCCTATAATCTTTACAGTATCGGTATGACTTTAATCAAATCAAAATTTATTTATTGTCGGTATATATATATAACATTTTACAAAATTTAAGCTATTAAACTTTCCCTTCCCATTTAATATATCAATTATGTTGTATTATTTTCTCAAGAGTTCGAATTGATATTGGTTATAGACTTTTTCTGTTTTCTGATTTATTACAGAGCTGGAAAATAAAGATGGAAGAAAACCATTTGAGTCGCGTCACGACAAAACCAACATAATGTGTTTGCGACCAGCATGGATCCAGACCAGCCTGCGCATCCGCGCAGTCTGATCAGGATCCATGCTGTTCGCTATCAGTTTGTCTACCTGTTATAGGGTTTGTGAACGAACAGCATGGATCCTGATCAGACTGTGTGGATGCTAAGGCTGGTCTAGATCCATGCTGGTCGCAAAACCATTATATTGGTTTTATCATAACACAGATTTTTATGATTTATTGCCAATAGATGTTATCTGGAACTAGGCAAATGTGGATTTTCCCCAGTCTAATCTCGAGGTACAAAAATAAACTTGCTGTTTTAGCTTCATAATGCACTACCTTCACAAACTTTTAAAGAGAGATGAATGTACACGTGTTAGGCTGATAGGCTTTATTATTAGATTGTATATCAAGTAAGTTAAAATGTAGTTTGAACCTTGGAATTAGATGTGGTAAAAAACCCACATATGCTGAAATTCTGAGTATCTTCATGTTACATTATTCCAGGCGCATTTTACTATGTATCTTGGTAGAACAAAAATCTTCAATTATCACTATATTTTTTTAGCTCACCTGAGCACAAAGTGCTTATAAGTCAGCTTTTTCAATGGCTATGTGTCCAATTTCCATCATTATCCACAGTTTCTTCAAACTACATCCCCCCTAAACTACCTGATGGAGTGGGACCAAATTTCACAGGAATGATCTTTAGGTGGTCCTCTACAAAAGTTAAATACATCATTTTTGTGTGATGCATAAGTAGGTCACAGAAACTAAAAAAACTGATATCTTTAAAGATCTTCTCAGAAATTCCAGAGCTAAGTCAGCTTACATATATGGCATGTAGCATCACCTGGTGGTCCTCTGCAAACGTTTTATAAAGCATGCCCCTGGAGTCAAAATGACCCGCCCCAAGGGTCACTTTGTTGGTATGTTAGCATCACCTTTACTTATGGACCTCTACAAAAGTTATATAAATCATTGCCCTGGGATCATAATTAGTCCTGCCTCGGAGGTTCACTTAAATCATAGAACAAAAATTATACACAGTCAAATTTATAGACAAATTTATCAGATGTAGAAACAAAAATAATATAGTATGAATATTTCTACTGATAATCTTGCCTTAGTTTTCTACCTTTCAATATAACTATATCATTTACTTGTAAAAGATAAAACTTTGTAAATTTATAGCCTTAACTTTTGACACTTTCACCACATTTATTTCTTTGTTGCTACACACTAACACATTGGTGCAATCGTCACTTTTTTCAATAGTTTCAGTTCAGAGTATAGATTGACTAGATTGTTAATATGAAAAATATCATAATTCGTCAACATATATGTTAGCAGTTTTTAATTTTTTTTTTCCTTTTTCAAATTGGATTTCATAATTAGTAAAATGAACTGAGTTTTTCAGGTGGGACATATACTATACAATACAAAGTATTAACATTGAAATGTATTTATTTTGTTTACATACAGTGTACACAAATTTTCTTTATTTTTGTAAGAGTAACTGTTAATTTCATACTTGTTGTAATTATTTACTAGCCTAGTTCCTCTATGAAAATGTATTTATCTTTTCATCCAGTTATTTTATGTAATTCTTTTCGAAAATTATTATATATGCTATTTAAAATAATAACGTTTATACATACACATGTTTTATTGTATAAACAGTTATAGATGTTTTATCTTACTATAATATTATAACTTTCTTTTACGCGCCAAATGTGGCGTCTATTAATTAACGTAGACGTCTGTTTTGTACGTTTACGTCATTTCCTTTATATATCAACTGACAAAGCTAATAAAGCGAAGCATGTATTGAAATTTACACTTGCGTTGGTTTTAATATACAATGTATTTGTCCTTTCTTTATTTTTGTAGTAATTTTCACATAATATCATTGAGACTAAATAATGTTTTTATTTGCTTTTAAAGGTTCTTAGATAATGTCTTTAGAAATAAGTCTGTCAATTACAGTACATGATGTATGTCCCAGCACACTTTTTTTTTTTTTTTAGAAAATATACCTTTTTCTAAGACTTCTTTAAAACTTGAAACAGCTGTAACCTATCCAATATGAAGTGAAGATAAAATTATAATTGGAAGGCCTATTCTATGAATATTCTTATTCATATAAAAGGTAGCTGAAAGAGTTTCTTCATTTTTATCTGAATTTATAAATTTTCTATCAAAGCCATTTATCAATATTTATATATTATTATATTAATAATGAATAAGAAATTAATATGTATAAAAAACATATATCATTAGGAAACATATTTTATAGTGCAGAACTAAGTTACTAACACCTTAGTACATATATAATATTTGGCACCAAGCAGTAGATTAAACACACTAGATGTCATCCATAGGACAGATTGCCTTTGAGTCATAAGACAGACATTGGACAGATTACCGTTTGGATCATCTGACAGACATATGAGAGATTGCCGTTTGAGTCATAAGACAGACACAGGACAGATTACTGTTTGAGTCATTAGACAGACATAGGACAGATTGCCATTTGAGTCATAAGACAGACACAGGACAGATTACTGTTTGAGTCATTAGACAGACATAGGACAGATTGCCGTTTGAGTCATAAGGCAGATAAAGGACATATTGCCGTTTGCGTCATTAGGCAGATAAAGAACAGATTGCCGTTTGAGTCATAAGGCAAACACAGGGCAGATTACTATTTGAGTCATAAGACATACACAGGGCAAATTACTATTTGAGTCATAAGGCAGACACAGGGCAGATTACTATTTGAGTCATAAGACAGACAAAGGACAGATTACCGTTTAGGTCATAAGGCAGACATAGGACAAATTGCCGTTTGAGTCATAAGACAGACACAGGACAGATTACTATTTGAGTCATAAGACAGACACAGGGCAGATTACTATTTGAGTCATAAGACAGACATTGGACAGATTACCGTTTGGACCATATGACAGACATATGACAGATTGCCGTTTGAGTCATAAGACAGACACAGGACAGATTGTCGTTTGAGTCATAAGACAGACATTGGACAGATTACCGTTTGGATCATATGACAGACATAGGACAGATTACCGTTTGAGTCATAAAACAGACATAAGACAGATTACCGTTTGAGTCATAAGACAGACATAGGACAGATTGTCGTTTGAGTCATAAGGCAGATAAAGAACAGATTGCCGTTTGCGTCATAAGACAGACATAGGACAGATTGCTGTTCGAGTCATAAGACAGACATAGGACAGATTACCGTTTGAGTCATAAAACAGACATAAGACAGATTGCCGTTTGCGTCATTAGACAGACATAGGACAGATTGCCGTTTAAGTCATAAGGCAGATAAAGGACAGGTTGCCGTTTGCTTCATTATAGACAGACATAGGACAGATTGCCGTTTGCGTCATTAGACAGACATAAGACAGATTGCCGTTCGAGTCGTAGAACATATTATCGTATTCATACCTCTCATACTTGCACGACTACGTACTATTCCATGAAGTAATGTTATATGTATAAATGCCGACTTATTTCTTATCATTTTACTAACACCTGGTGTAAAATATAATGTTGTTTTACGTCGCAGGTAACACTCGTAAAGCCTTTTCCCTACATTTCGCTACTTCATTTTGTTGTTACATCGAGTCTATTTAAAAGGATGTATACACAGAATCGGCAAGGTATTGATTCAAAAGCGATATTTAAAGTAGGTCTTGCTTAGAAATACATATGCTGGATTTTAAAATGTTTGGTATAATAGATTTATAAATCATTTGAGTGATAGAGAAGGCATCGAAACACGAGGCTATCTATTATCTACGAAGGGTATCAATCAGATTGTGGAGTGTATTGGTGTTCTTTATCTTCTGTAAGATAGGCAAAAATAGATGCACATTCCCTGTTGTCACAATATGAAACCCTGTACGAGCATCTGAATATGACTTTTATATCATTATAAGTAACCCTCAGGAGAAAAAAACGAGCCAATCGACGACCATGCTTTATTTTTTATCCCTGACAGACGTTAACTTGAGTGCATGTTCATAATACTCATACCAGTTAACGCACTGTGCATTTATAGGTTTGTAAAGGATTTAACTCTAGAAAGGTCTCCTAAGCACAATTAATTAAACAATTAAAATTGTGTTCAAGGACTACATGAATCTACAGCAAAATGACCCGGGATATTCATCGTTTTCGGAGTTTAAATGATTCAGGCGTTCAAATATGTACAATGTAATAGATTAATATCGGCGAATTACAGATTGATTTTATATCCATTATATGAGCCGCGTCATGACAAAACCAGCATATTGCGTTTGCGACCAGCATGGATCCGATGCGCAGGCTGGTCAGGATCCATGCTGGTCGCAAACGCACTATGTTGGTTTTGTCGTGACACGGCTCATATAACACTCCGCGTTTGAATAAGGTGTCGCGCACCTGCATAACACGATACAATTATATTAAAGACACAGTATGCCCAAGAATTTCTTATACATGTATATATTTTTCAAAATATTTTTTTATTATTTTTGGCGCACCTTTATCGTTTCTAATTTGTTACTGATTGGCGACTTACCTGAACCATCTTTTTCTTTTGTTGCTTTTTGGCCAATAGTATAGTTCTAGTAATTTAGTATTTTGTATGAAAGTCAAAGTACTACTTTGTTTACAGTTTGCATCGTCGGATACCCACTGTTGATTAATATGTAACATAACATGTCATGTTAATGGTTCGGCCGTGGGTATCAGACGATGGCATTATATGCTACCTATATAATTATATTTAGCGCTAGGTAACAAGCATTTAACATGCTCCAAAGTTATAAAATTCATGTTTGGTCTTTATAATACGAAATAAAAAATGTTTTAGAAGCATTATGTGCCTGTAAGGCAGTTATCAATTTTTTAAAAAAAATTTATTTCATTTTATTTTATTTCATTAGGGTTTATGTCTCACCGACATATGGCGACTTTCCAGTTTTACTGGTGGAATATGCATAACAAACACTAAGTAAACTATCGGCACTGGAAAGCTTCATCACATGAAAGAATCCAAAGTCGACGGGTGAGGGGCAAGTGGTTTGAAGCCACTCGGCCATGGACGCCCAATATTTGGAAAATAAGGAAAAATATACTCAAATACGATCAGTAACATAACAATGATGATTGATAAGATAAATGAGTCGAATTGATATTTTAATAAATGCCAGTGATAAAGAGTCGCTAATGAAAAGCATTTTACAAAATAAAATTCTTTCTTGCGTAGTTAAATTTGCCTATTTAAACTATTAATAACTCCCACGAAATCACGAGCATCTACACACGTGGATTCCTGCAATTAAAGCGTAACTTCCTGTTGCTAAATCTATTTTTAGCCAAGCACTGAAACAGAAATTGCACGGTAAGCGTTATTTTTTTTTATTCTTTTGCCTTAAATTGTTCTTTCTTTCGTGTATTCGAAGTAAAATTTAGTACAATAATTTGATTTGTGTTGGTAAGTATATCGTGATATAAACTAATTGAAGCCTGTAATAATGCACATCACTTGTAGGTCATTCGATACAGGTGCTGTGACCTAAAATTGCTAGTCTATTTTGAGACTTCGGTATATTTTTTATGCTTTCTAGAGAATGAGTAGGAATGTATTGTACAAAGTCGGGTCTACTATAATTGATTGATTGATACTATATAACAGTGGTGTTAAAATATAACGTAATACTACATGTAACTAATGGATTAAGGATTCCATATTTCTGCCTCTGCTGTTTTTTTTTCTCCCGCCAGGTCAGACTGGCGCGTACATGTAGCTAAGAACAGCTTATAAACACTAACATTACATTTAGCCTGCACAGAAAGACAGGTCCAAACATAGGGATACGGACTCGATACAGTATTGGGATAGGGTAAAAAATCATCCTACATAAAATATATACTGTTCATGTATATATAATATATAGCCTATATATTATATATACAGTAGAATCTATATATTTTTTCAAGAATTACTTTTTACACTATCCTAACACGGTCTAGACCCTGTAGGTCCAAAAGATTCGGAGTTATTACTTAGATTACATTCGGCATTTAATTAGAACAGAAAGGTATGCAAAAGATGATGAAAGCTGCATGTGAGCAGGTACGTATATTAACCTTAAAATATTTCAAGAACATCAATCTTGAGCAATAGTGAAGGGAGGCAACTCCCAAGTCCATACTGCTAGGATTTCCGATATGTATTGATAACCTTTCTTTCCATTCCATATTTATTTAGATGTCCTGAAGGAACTTCGGGTAATATTGTTTTATTTTAAACAATTATCGTGAATTTTTTTTTGAACTTATATTAAGCAATATATATATTTAGTTGACTTTCGGAAGTAGATATATAGTTATCTGGTCCCAATCAGTGAAGAAGACAATAAAAATGCCATCGTTGATTTGTGAGACATGATAGCAGAGAACTAACTCTATATATGCGAATGTTGAGCCTGTTTCAATGTGTAGTGCAGTTTATGACTGTATATAAAGCTGTTCTGAAACCATCATTTTTGTGATGGTGGATGAGCAGCGGCTATGCTTTCATGACTGTTCTGCTAGGCGCTGTGCCGTAATTGGACTGGCATATCGATGTGATGGTATGTGTGTATATATTCTCTCATTTTTCTCTCTCTATATATATATATATTATAGTCGGATTTGTTTAAAACTTTACATCAGTTGGCATATTTAAAATGATAATGATTGTCAGACATATTTTCAATCATAATTGTTCCGAAACAGACTTTATTTTCCTTTGGATTTAAAATATATATATTCGTTTTACATTGGTCTCTGTTTCTAACCACGGGGTAGAGTTACTTTCAATCCGTATTAACTCCGAGGTTATTATAGATAATAGCCGAGGATGTTCCGATTGGAAACATCGCAATATTGTGTACCTTATAGCGATTGCAGTAATTGAAAATTCGACACATTCATTAGAAATACAAAGTCAAAACATTCTAATACTTCAAGGTTTACTTATTTTTCACTCGACATACCACTTATGTCCCTTATTGTTTTCAGCAGAGAATGACCAGTGCATGGGCAAAAAGGGTATCGTTTAAGAAGATTTCGCAAAGAGGTTACCGATATGTATATGCAACGTTTACAAGTAATGATTTGTAATTATCGCTGTACTATTTCAGTAAATGTAAAGATGGGGGTTGATATTGGCACCTACAGAGGCCGCATTGGTTCCTTCAACCATCGCCTTAAACTTGTCGTCAATGACAGAGACAAGTCTAGTGTCAACTTCGATTGTGCTTTGAAGTGTATCGGTTCGGTTGTATTTGTAGGCCTACTGTTGGTACTTGCCGGCGTAGAACAAAATCCTGGTCCTTTCGGAAAAGGTGATTTATTTTATGCATTTATTTAATGCATGTGTTGCAAAAAAGTAATACGTGAATTTGAGTTCTTTTTCAGATCTTTTGCATTGCACATTTATAAAGAAAAGGTCTATGCATATTGATAATATCTGTCATATGTTGCGGTAAGCCTCGTTACCGTGCAATGGGCGGGTCTATTCCGATCCTAAGCGTGCCATTGTAAAGCACGCGACTCATCTGACACCCCCATGTAATTCCGGCATGGGTAAAACTAACGGAAACGTCAGTCTGATATGCAAGAAAGTATTATTTGTTTTGTGGCCACAAGGTGATGCTTCATACTAAATATCTAACCTATTGGCATCGTAGGTTCTTAGAAGAGTACTTATTTCAAAAATTTAAATTCAAAGTCCAATTTAGCTATTGTGGGTTGTTTTTGCATCAGACTGAAATTATTTATGTTACAGTTGTAAAGGACCACCATAAGATTATTCCTGTGAAGTTTTGTCAAAATCAAGTGTTTAGCAGGAGCTTTTATTTAAACAAATTGGCGACATCGACTGAGGACACAGCCGCCACAAAAACTCACCTCAGGGGAGCTAAACACAGTCGCCCGGTTTAATAGACAAATAATAATGTAGAGTTATGGTTATTTTACACTGCACTTCCTCTCACTAGTCTCATTACCTATATGAAGTTTCAGTGAGGTATTATTGATAATTTGATAAAAGTACTCAGGGCAAGCATTTTTTACACTTTTAAGTATCACGATCATGATTGGAAACATATTAATTATTATCCTATGACATTGCCATTCCTTCCTCTAATATCTAACACTGTGTGAATTTTTTTATCAAATTCCTTCAATATTTTTCAAGTAATTCTCAGAACAATCATTTCAAGTATTGTAAAGGTGAATATTTCAAATAGTTATCAATGTAGAGTTATTGTTCTTTGACACTGCCCTTCCTGTCTCTTGTTTCTACAACTTTGTAAAATATCAATGAGGAAGTGCAGTGTCAAATAATTATCTACATTAATGATACATAATAATGTTTGTTCAGGGAACTATTTGAAATGTGGATGAAGTTTGGTAGTACTGGGGTCCCGGTATATGGTGCAAAATTATATTTTTACACTTTTGTTCTTACAGCCTTTATTGTCATATGTGCATTGAATATATTGACAAATGGGAAGGCTCAGGTGGCAAATATGTTTGTACTTGTTAGCTCACCTGTGCTGAAGGTGAGTTTTTGTGATCACAGTTTGTTCGGCGTCCATCGTTCATCATTGCCTCTATGCGTCAGTGCGTAATTCGTAACGACTTTCCAGAAACCACATGGTCAAAGTTCATCAAAGTCTTGTGGGATGCTCCTAGCATGAAGCTCTATTAAAATTTGTTCAATTGGTTTTGCTCAATTGAACATCTTGGTCAGAAGGGCTAAAATAGATTTTTTATATGAAAATTTTAAAATCTTCTTTTCTGAAAGTCCAAGGCCTAGAGCTTAGACATTTTGTGTGTTGCATCAACTCATGAAACACTTCAAAATTGTTGTTCAACTTATAGCCCTAGGGTCACCAGTAGTCTTGCCTAAGGGGGTCATTGATTTTCCTTACATGTATAAACTAAAAACTTAAAAAATATTCTCCATTGAAAGTGCAAGGCCCAGAGCTTACATATTGTGTGTGTGACATCATCAAATAAGATGTTTAAATTAAAGACCTGGTGTCAAAATTAGCTTCGCCCGAGGGGTCATTGATTTTCCTTATATGTATATAGTATTAACGTTTTAATACACAATCATCTTCTCTGAATTGACAAAAGCTAGAGGTTCGTTATTTGTCATGAAAGATAGTGTGTAGATTTCTACCAACACTGTTCAAATTATAGCTCTGGGGTAAATATTGGCCTCGCCCCAGGGGGTCAATGATTTGCCTTATATGTATATAGTAAAAAACTTCAAATCAGCTTCTTTGAAGTCACAAAAGCTAGGTGTTAGATTTTTGGCATAAAACATTGTGTAGTAGACCTCTTTAAAGATGGTTCAAATTATAGCCATTGGGTCAAAATCGGCCCGCCCCGGGGGTCAATGATTTTCATATGGTAAAAACTTTAAAAAAAATCTTCTTTTCTGAAGAAAAAAAGCTTAGAGCTTTGATATTTGTAAATGATATCACCTTTATGTCCTCATACAAAGTTGTTCAAATCTATTCTCTAGTATCAAAATTGGCCCCACCCCGGGGTCATAGGTTTCCAAATGTAGAAATACACTCTAGGGACTATTGTTTTAGTCCAAATATCCTGAAATTGGTGAGAAATGTTGTTTTGATGATTTTAGATAAGTTTTTATATGGGTCACCTGGGTCGAAAACTAGGTCACACAGCCCAACTATGAAAACAAGAACCGGTTGAACCGGGTGATGCTCCCCGAGAAGGTTCTGGACACAGGAAAGTATAAAAAAATGAACAAAGGGCAAAATCTCCAAAATTAGGCAAGGCGGAGTTATGTTTTTTTGCACTGCACTTCTATTCAATGAGATCTATCTATCTATAAAGTTTCCCGATGATATCACTTATAGTTTCAGAGTTATGTCCCGAGTAAAATTCAAAGTGTTAAAATGAACAAAGGGCAATAACTCCAAAATTTGACCAGGCTTTGTTTAGGTTCTTTAAGCATTGCAGTTCGATCCACTGATATCTAGCTATCTACAAAGTGTCATGTTGATATCTCTAATAGTTTTAAAGTTATGTCCCGGACAAAAGTCAAAAAGTAAAAATAAACAAAGGGCAGTAACTTCAAAATAAGGCAAGGAAAAGTAATGATTCTTAAGCACTGCACTTCTACCCAATGAGACCTATCTATCTACAAAGTTTCATGTTGATATCTCTTATAATTTTAAAGTAATGTGCCGGACAAAGTTCAAAGTGCAAAATGAACAATGGGCAATAACACTTAAAGTAAGCAAGACATTGTTACAGTTCTTGTGCACTGCAAACCTACTTAATGAGATCTATCTACCTACAAAGTTTCATGTTGATACCCCTTATAGTTTTAGAGTTATGTCCTGGACAAAGTTCAAAGTGTGAAAATAAACAAAGGGGAATTATTAAAAAATTAGGCTAGGCAGAGTTACGGTTCTTGTACACTGCATATCTACTCAATGAGATCTATCTTCCTACAAAGATTCCTGTTGATACCTTTGATAGTTTTAGAGTTATGTCCTGGACAAAGCTCAAAGTGTAAAAATAAACAAAGGGGAATAATTCAAAAATTAGGCAAGGCAGAGTTACGGTTCTTGTGCACTACCCTCTTACTCAATGAGATCTATCTACCTACAAAGATTCATGTTGATACCTCTTATAGTTTTAGAGTGATGTCCCGGAAAAAGTTCAAAGTATAAAATAAACAAAGGGGATAAATAAAAAAAATAGGCAAGGCAACGTTACGGTACTTGTGCACTGCACACCTACTCAATGAGATCTATCTACCTACCATTTTCAATGTACGAACTCAGTACCAGTCTTTTGTCTCTTGCTAAAGCTCGCCAAGATACACTTTCATCGCCTTCTCCATCCCGACATCAACCATGTATTCTCTATATTCGCCAGTAAAAAACTACTTTTCATTTATTGATGGCGCTTAAGGATTTTGTTCACCTGTAAAAGTATTCTCATTCCCATTCAATAATGCTAACGTAATTAACTTCTATCTACAGCTCATATTTATATTATTCGATGGCATTATTTTTAAGGAATACGCCATTTTAACAGTCTCAGTGTGAAAATAATTTTAAAGGAATCATTTGTGTTTTACTAGATAAACCTTTGTACGAGAGGGTGCTGAATAGGTCATTACCAAACTTAGTTGAAAAGCTAAACCCGCATCCGTTGTTGGACTATTTAGAAGCAGAAGAGGTATTACCACAGCACATTGCCAGGGATATCAAAGTAAGAAAGTGAATTCAGCATATTTAATATACTTTCAATTTGTCATGTTTAATACAGAAAACTGATTGAATAAAGTTTCCGTACAAATCACATGTGAATGTGTAACAAATTGAAGGAATAACTTAACAAGGGTGTCATGACATTTTTCTTTAGCAGCACTTTAAAACAATTTGCAATTACACATATTATAGATAAATGTCACATCACTTTGTAACGTTGGTCTTATTATCGTGTGACACCAAATAGGTTCAATGTATGGTTGGCAAACATCTTTTGTCAGTCAACATTCTTTCCATTTAATGGATCTACAAGTTATTGCTGAAGCAAGACATTATACTCGCAACTTTTGATTTCACAGCAAGTGTAGACCATTTGAATATAGTATTTCAGATATTGAAATAACGTGTATGATATTAACACAACTGAAAGCGTTATAGATTGCCCCATACTTATGTTATGACACCAACATTACTCTTGTTATTCCGAAAACCAAAATAAAACTTCAATTGGAACTTTGCTTTAGTGGAGCTTAAGGGTGTAATGGGTATTGCACATTTCTAGTATCCCTCATTGTGTAATATTGTTGTTTTTAATTCTTCTGTGGGATCAACCCTTTTCCAGACTCGTTCTTAGTATCTAGATATATTTTTAAAAGGACAGTGTACATGTACTTTACTAATCAACAATCGTACCCGAAGTAACAAATTATAGTTTGTAATTGGAATTATTTTTGTTTTAGGAAGAAAAAACAACGTCTAATGTTATAAGGGAACTCATAAAGTATATCAGAACAAGAGGTGAATCCTTATTTCTCACATTAAAGAAAGGCTTGAAGTCAACAGGACAGGACGAGCTTGTGAAGAATCTTGACGATATAGAGAATGAGCTTCAAGGTAAATTGCAATCTAAAATATTTGAATATTTAGTTAAGGGTTTTACTAAGTACATAAATTTATTTTATCAAAGTACACACAGGTTTTGCCTACATTTACAGTTAATTGAACAGCTTCATATGGAAGTGTTTTGAACCTTATGGATAAATTGTTAACATTATCATATTTGAAATAAAATGAATTTAAATGAATTTAATGCCCTAATTACCTAGATTGCGATTTTGAATGTCTTATATTTTTCAACAATACAACCATAAGCAATCAGATATTCATTTTAAAATGAAACCGATTCGAAAGCTAACATATATAACACATTTTTATAAGCTCAACTTTTCGAAAGAAAATTGAAATAATTGCAATGAAATACGCTGCGGCGGCGAAGATGTCGCTGATCAATATCTAAGGTTAAAGTTTTCAAAGATGTTTACTTTCAACTAGGAATAATTGTGAACATTCGACAACGAATTGCATTTATTTCTTAAGGGCGTGTTACCCTTAAGGTCGTTTGTATGTTCAATCATGCACACTTTGTAGCTAAAGCTTAACAATTAATTATGAAACATTTACTAGTGGACTTCTATCAAGATGCTTAAATAATAGCTTTTGTGTCAAACTTTACCCTGCCCCAGGTAGACAAAACAACTATATGGAATCCGATCAGCCCTTTATTTGGAAGTAAACCGACCAAGGGGTCAACAGTTTAATATGGGAAAGGTTTAAAAGCATTCTAGCTTTTCTTGCTGGCTCACTATCGATACAGGAACAGTAAACAGTTTTTGTGAATTATATTCACAGGAGTGTAGGTCCTTCAAACTTTGAAGTACTAGTATACATGATTTTTTTTAAAGTTAGTATTACATTATTTATTACCAAGTTGAACACTTTTTTGTCCTCAGGTGAGCGCCTGGAAGCTTTTGACCCTCTTGAGTATTTCATATTTTCCAAGTTATCTACATAGAAAATGAATTATTTCCGTTTACTGTTTTGAATCATATCATTCGGTACTGTCAAAAGTAGAGCTCGCTGCTCATCGGACACTGCCTTATAACATTCTCCATGCTCCATATGCATTGTATGTAACGATTAGTATACTGTGCTCCTCTTAGTTCACGGTCCTTAACGCTTTAAAGTAAGAGAGAAAACAACAAATGAAACTTATGGTACAAAAAATGTCATAGGCTGTAACATATAGGTATTTTCTGCTGTATGACACAAGGAAACAACAATATATTTAGTCAAAATAAGTTTAAATGAGCCAGACTTAGACCATATGTCGGCCATTTTGAAAATAGAATGTCATCATTAAAATCGCGGCAATGGTGTTTCATGTTTCATTCAAAATTTCTACATGCTATTTTGCATAATTTTAAATATTATAAGTATCTTTACATTGCAACTCAAAATTTATTTTTCAAGAAACAGGAACATTTAGTAAATGATGATTGTTTCAGACGTATGCACAAATTTAACGGACTATTGTTGCTTTTTGCAGAAGTTTGTAAATATGTTGTTCTGTTTCACGTTAAAATCTATACATTTAAAATATTTTGCACAAAAACTTTATTGTTAAGGTGTTTGAATAAAGTACGTGTTAAGGTGTTTGAATTAAGTACGTCAATTCTGACCATTTTTATGCCGGTCACATGAAAATATGCCATTACCGTGAATTAAGTGATGACGCAGAATTAGTGAGTATATTGAGTATATATCTAATATATCAAAATGTTATAAACACATGTTTATATCAGATAATCTTTAGAACGAAGAGTTTAAATTCATATTTACTGAATGTTATATTTTAGCGGTCCAGCCATCTGATGACTCTGATTCAGAATATTCTGATGCACCAGGTAAGCAATGCTCCTTTGACCGTTGTCTGAAAATAATCACTTCCAAAATAAGATATTTACATCAGAATGTGAAATTACCCGTTAAATAAAATGAATAACATTACAATATGACAATTTACTCTTTAATTTTAAGACAAAACAAAATAAATGAAAGGTATAACTTTACAATATGTTAATTTGGTTTTAATTTAAAGAAGAAATGAAATAATTGAAGCTTATGAACTAATGCCGAAATATATGTTTGAATGTTGTAAGGCCCGTTTAAGTTAAGTATTAACGGATGAATCAGATTGTCTGGCCTACTAAGGAAAAGAAGTAATTGAAATCACAAAAGTATGCATTGACTTATTTTCATACTTGTGCAGAGCTTCGTACTTTATGATATAATGATGTATCATCAATTGAAATAGCCAGTATTTAATCATCAATATGCTAATAATTAATAGAGGATATTGAATGAGTGTAGTTTAATGTTTAACTTATTGAACGAGTTTAATAAAATCATATGCGACCCTCTGGCGAGCATAATATTATTTTATTCAACGAGTTCAATAAATTTTTTATTGATTCTACACGAATATAATATTCTATTTATCACATCACATCGGTATATGGCCCGCAGCGCAGTTAACTTGCATTTTGCCCGAAAGGCCATGTATTATTTGTTATATTATACCGAATCTAAATCTTTCCACCTCTTGTTTTTTGCTGTCATTTAAACTATTATTTGCTTTCAAATAGTAATTTTACTTGTTCAGTGTGTGAGATATCTCAAACCCTAGTCGAATTTTGTTTTATTATTTTCAAGCGATGAAGCAAACAATCATGCTCTTCTTTTAATCGCCCAGCCAATTTGACGAATTAGCGTCTGTTTGTGTCGTCGTGAAATTCGCACGTCGTGAAAGTTACGTTTAAACGGTCTTCATAAGAATTATGGACCACCCCTGGTTTGTATGCGGTTTATGGACCTGATGACGTCATATAAAATTTAGAAGGGCGTATGCAAGTGATGTATAATATATGGCTTTATTACACTCCTGCGCCGCAGGTAATGTGATAATATGTAAATCATCATTATCATTTCAGACTATGTAGAGCAAATAGAGACTCGAAGAGATCCTGATGTTGACAGAATTATTCAAAGATTTGGCTTAGTGAATAAAATGGACCAGAAAATACAAGTTACAGACGTTGTTCAAATAGACGTTTTTGGCAACTTAGACAAAAGATATTGTATTTTACCTTTTAAATTTTTTTTTTAACAGCAAAATTTGTTTTTTAACAGTGTTTGCATTTAACAAACAATTTTCCTATCTCCCGGGAAAAATGTAATACAAAAAGGATCCGTAACTTTTTTTTTCCCCCAAGAAAAAAACAAAATGGGTTATTCCAAAATTTTTTTAAGGTATCAATTTTGTACCCTTTATTTAAAAAAATTTTTTTGGGGAAACTTTACCCCCAAAAAAGGGGCATTTTCCTTTTTTTTTGGTACAGAAAAAATATCCATTTGGGGGAAAAATTTTGTAAATTTGGGCCTTTACTTTTTTTCTTTTTCCCTGAAAAAAGGGTGTAGAATGAAATCCAAAACCCAACAAAGGGGAAAAGTTAAAGGGGTTTTCTCGGTTTTGCCCTTTAAATAACGTTATTTTTTAAAAACTTTTTTGGGGGGGGCCTTTATTTTTTCCCAAAAATCAAATCTTATTAATAACCTTCTTTTGTGATAATGGGAAAAAAATTTTTTCAAAAAAAAACTGCCCTTTAAAGGGTAGGGAATTTCCTAGATATGCATCAAAATTGGAATTTTTAAATTTTTTTTTTGGCCCCCAATGTAGAGGGGGGAAGTTATTTAAATTTTAAAGTCAATTTTTTTTTTAAAATTGCAAGGGGGATTTTGGTTTCCAAAAAATAATTTTCCATTTCTAAACAAATCGTAAACCCTTTATCTTTATTTATTTGAAAGGGTTTTACCCTTTGATTTGGGGGTTTTTTGTCACAATTTTCATCATTAGAAAGAAAGATAGTTGTTTCCTTTCCCGTTTTATTACCCCTTTTTTAAATTTAAAAATAATTTTAAATGATGACCCCCAAAAACAAAATTTAAAAAAGGCCCTTGAAACGCATGTAAATAAACATTACAAATTGGGGGAATTTTACCATCTTTTTGCAACTCACTCGGTACAAAAGGGAGGGGAAAGAAAAACAGATATAATTGCAGTTCCCAAAGGTCTCCCCATACAAAACTTTACAGGGTAAAAAATTTGGGGGAAAATTTGGTTCAAAAATTGGGCGAAGTTTTAATATAAAAACTGGGGGGAAAGGGTCTTGTGCAAGGAACCCTTTTAAAATTTTCGGGCCTGTTTCCCGGTAAATTTGCAAAAATGGGGAAAACACGCCAGAAAAAAAAATAAAATTTGAACCCGGGGTAACAGGGGGGTACAAATAAAAACCCCAAATTGCTAGGGTCCCCCAAATTAAAGAAAGTTACAAAAATTTAGTTTCGCTGGTGTTTTGATTTTCAAACAAAAAAAAACCAAAAAAGCAAGGAAAATTAAAAAAGGAAAAGAAAAAATAACATCAGTAAATTAAACTATTCGGGCCAATGTCTTGGCAAAGAATGGGGAAGAGAACGCCATACTTTTTTCTTAAGCTGTATTTGGTCTTGGGTTTAAAGCTATTGCTTGAAAGGGACGAAAAACGCTTGGCAATTCAAAATTTTCCTTGATACGTCAAAAACATTCGATAACAGACGAAAATGCATTTTTAGAGATTGAACACTTGTTCGTGAAATTGCTCATATATGGTGACTCAATCAAAATGTTCTGACACAAGCAGTGAAAGCATTGACTTTCCATCACGTGAACGCGAATTAGTCGATGTTGTCTCTTAGTTCTATATGGTACAGGGATATATTTTTGAACTACTTGATGGAGAACATTTTTTTATTTCCAACAGAAGGATAAAAACTTATCTTAGGTGAAGTCAATAGAAAAATCAATGAGAAACAATTGATTGTTCTATCAGTTTTGGTATACCAAAGCTCAGGGAAATCCCCCGCTGCTCAACAAAATGTTTGGATGCAAATTCCCACCCAGCCCCCGGTGGCCGAGTCCCCCAAGGGGAAATCCCCATATAAAGGTTTGGTTCCCCTTGTAAGGAGGAAAAATACTTTCTTCTCTTACCATATGTTTTATATTTTAGTAATTTGAAAACCGAAGGTAAAAAGGCCCAAAGAATGCCAAAAAACCGAAAAATTTCGTTTTATAAAAGGGAAATAAAATTATCAACAATAAAAAGCGGGGCTTAGGAGATGAAACTATTTTAAATTTTAATGGGGTGAAAGTTTTTCAAAAATGAAATGATTTTTGGGAAAATTCTTGCACACCCCATTTCTTACTTTTAAAAATTTAGGGGGAACAACAGCCCTTGGGGATTTTCGAAAAAACCCTGTTTTTTTAATCCCAATAAAAAATTTTTCCTGAGATCAAGCCCCACTAAAAGTTAAAGGGGTTTTTAAAAAAATGTTTTTCCCAAATTTTAGACAAAGTTACTAAAGAGGCTGCAGAATTCGAAGGCATATCCGACATTAACCCAAACGTTTTCTGATGTTATAAAATTCGAAAGAGGTCAAACGTTTTTTTATTTCCGAACCCTCTGGCAGGGAAAATTTTCCCCCAATGGAAAATTTATCAACCGGAATGTTTTCCCCAACCGAGTTGGGACGTTATGACAACGAGCTATTTAAAAAATTTCTCTTTTTTTAAAAATCGAGAAAATCTTTTAAAACTTTAAAAGATTTTTTGCTACACATCATATTGGGAAAAGGGGGGTTTTGGGCCAGAGGTTTTTTAATTTTTCCTTTCCCGGGGGTTTTAACCCCCCGAAAAAAGAAAGGGAAAATTTATTGGGAAACATTGGCCCCTTGAAAACTTTTTTGATGGAACACTAAAAATGGCTCAAAAAAGGGTTTTTTGAAATGTGACGTTTTACGAGTTTTTTAAAATTACTATAATGGGAAATCCCAAGTGTCACTCAGGATTTGATATCAAAACACAAAAAAAAAAGCATTTGATCGAAATGGAACCCTTTTTTCAAAAGAACAAATACGGGAAAAAACAATTGAGGGAAAAGGAGCGGGTCTTTGGGGAATGTTTAGACGGGTTTTTGTAAATTTAATTGTTGCCCAACAAAAATATGGAGTTTAAACCACTTTTTTACAACAAACGTAAAGGTAGAAAAATGATACAAAGATTTGTTTTTAAAAACCCATGAAGACGAACCCCGGAAAAAAACCCAATTGGGAGCTTGAAAATTTTGAATTGCGTTATACCCGGGAAAAAATGTTTACACTCTTTGAAATATTCCCAAATTTTGCCCGGGGTTTTTGGAAAGTCAATTGAAACGGAATCGTTACGTTTAGTAATACAATCAAACCCGAAAATAGTTCCCGTTAAGAAAGAAGCGACTTTAAATTGTTTTTTCAAAATGTTTTTGAAGTATATTGTTTTATGAACCGATTCTAAAAAGATGATAAATTGATGAAAAAAACTAGAAATAAAAAAAATTTATCTGGTCATTTGTGAAAACCCGAAAAATAGACATAAGTGGATATACAGTATGCCAAAAGAAATTTTCTTTTAAACAAACAAAATCAGCACACACAGTCATCAGAAAAAACTGAGAAAAAAATGAAGCTAGTTGCAAAAGTGCCACGGAAGAAATAAATTTAGCACTAATTGACAAAAAAGGTACAACTTATCTGTCAAAAGGGAATGGAAATGTATTTACTCAATTGGAAAGTGAAACAAATTTTTAAATGAAATTCAACAAATCAATTAAGACATCTCTCCGAAGCCACAGCCATGCATTAAAACAAATGGGAAAAAAACGGTTTTTTAAGATTTAAAAATTTCAATTTAAAAATCTTTTTAAAACTTTTTTAAGGGGAAAAGGGGAAATGTAAAATTTAGCAATCCCATAGCCCCCAGGGCCCCCTTTTGATAGGGTTTTTCGTAAACAAATCAAAAGGTTTTTTTGCCCTATTTAGAGGCAGGGAAAGTGAAGATACTGGCCCGCACTTTAATGCATTTGGGTAATTGAAAAATTAGTTAGGGAGAATATTGAAAAAAAAAGTTGACAAAGGGAAAATAAAATGGGGGGTTTTTAAAAAATAGATTAACCCCACTTAAAAAAATTTTTTGCTCCTTTTAAAAATTTTTTTTCTGGGCCAAAAATTTGGGCAGGAAAAGATTTTGACCAAATTTTAAAATTTTTCATTCTTTTAAACCCCGAATTCAATTTCATTTATTTGGGTCACCCAAAAAGCGAATAAATGTTTATTTTCACGAGCAATATCGGTGTTTACCAAGAAAGTGGCAGAAAGGAAATAAAAAATCTTTACTTTGAAGATTAGTGTGAACTCCCAGTTGAAAAAGAGTACAAATAAAATTTTCCCAGACCACAGAGCATCATTTCCAAGATTGGATTGAAACGTTTTATATCAATGAACGACAAATTTCACATTTTCTAACAATTGTTTTGAATAACGTTGCGATGGACTTAAATCACATTTAGAATGTGTACAGATTAGTTGATTTTGTGTAAATAAAATCATTGACAAAGCTAGAATTATACAAAAAAAATGGGCTTGTAACATGTACAGAAACTGCAAACAGAAGAACACGGTTAGATGGACAATGGGATGTAACCCCAATAGAAACTATATTTCAAAGATCTGTGGGGGTTCGGAGCAATGTATTGGTTGTGGGGAAGCCCTGTATCTCAATTTTGGCGCTCAAAAACCATGACGATATGTTTCATATTTGTCTGCAGCACAGGCCTTTAGGAGTAGCAGGTTGTTTTTATGAAGACACTGGGAATATATTTCTGACGTCGTGCCATGTAAATGTAACACGTGTTGCAGATGTTGCGTGTTGCATGATTGATTATCGATGTAATCCACAGGAAAGGAGTGAGTGCAAAGGCAAAAGACACAAATTTAAAGACTACAAATCATTAGTAAGTAAGTGGGATATTGAACCAGTTAGAGTAATGGAAGATTGCTCATTGTTTTGGATGTGGTTTATGGGGAAATATAAACAGCAGCTGGCTGAATATTATGGCATAAACACAGAAAATATCCCATCGATGTGGAACGAAATTCAAGATAAAAGAGCTATTGATAGTTTGTTAAACTTACGTGCAGCGAAAAAAGATCGGATTGGTTCGGTCTTGAAATAATTCTTTGCATGTAAATTATAATTTCTTTTGAGTCTGCAGTTAAGAACTAAAAAGTCAATATGTAGGATTATACAGATATCGTTTTACATTAGACTGCTCTATCTTAAATTAATGCATTTTTACACTTAAAAGATACCACATTGGCTGCCGAACATTTTTTGATGTTCGCAATTTTACGTTTATTACCCCCCATGGCCCCTTGGTTTTTTTATTTTAAAATAAATTTTTTCTTTATTAAAAATTTTTTGTTTAAAAAGACTTCTTTGGGTAAATTTTTTTACTGTAAATTTAGGTACATTTAAAATGAGAGATATCCCAGTAGGTTTTCTTTTTAATTTAGTTTTTAAATATTTCAGGGGTTTATGTTTTTTTTGTATTTTTTTTAAATTAGTTTCTTACATTTTTTAAGTAACTTTTCGATATTTGTTTTTTTTTTTTTGATTTACTGTTTTAAATTATTATTGTATCAATTGCTAATTTGAAACTAGTTTAGAGTTGTTTTATTAAAGAATAGTCCTAGTGTGACAATATTCCCATCTTACTTTTTGTATATATCAATATGGTTAGGTTTCAGACATTGTTGAGAATTGTTGCCTTTTACTGCGACCGCATGTTTTCCGTCGCTCATGTGTTCTTCTGTGCTTACGCGCATACTAGCACTTTTATGTTTTTTACTTAAATCAAACTTGCTTAGAACTTGGACTGCTAGTATATCACGATTCTTTTCTTGAACGTATTGAATTCCATCATGCTTTGTAGAGTTAAATTCCCTTCAGTTACCAAAATGGCTGAATTGATATTATCAATATTACATCAGTTTCATTTTTAATTTGGTTTGAACCAAACTGGATATTAAATATTGTCAATGATATATCATCAGCTTATACCAGTCTAAATTACGCTTCAATCGGATTCCACTGAGGTTTTTATGACATGACGGGACTGGAAATAATTTATGATCACTTTGGTGTAGGTATATATCAATAACTTAAACAATTTAAAATGTGAAATTTTAAAACATTCCAGAATAATAATTCTTATTGTAAAAAAAATGACATAAAATTAAAAAGCATTGTAACGCCTTGCTAACTTTTAAATTAGTAAAGAATAACTCATTAATACTATTTTCAACATATTTCTTGTATATTTCTTTATACTCTAGGACAAAAATTTCTGTATGAAATAGCCTGCCGATCGATGTAAGACATTTAGTCTGTTTTACCTCTTAAATACGGTAATTAAATTCTCTATAGATTACAATTACGCTCGAACATGCCGCTGGTAAAATATGAATACATCTTCAAAGCTGTTATGCGTACGATAAAATACCTGTCTGACAATGTTTATAAACATGAAATTAGTGGCCAAATACCATTACATAACGCTATATAAATCGATAACAATGATAGGTTGCGTGTACTTCTTCAGTTTTATATTTGACAGAATATTATGAGTGTGATTTTGATTTCTTCGAGGGGTTTATTTAACGAATAATTTTAGTATTCACTTTGTGTAAAGTTTGAAATACCTGCTAAACAAAGCTTTACTACTTAAGCATACAAGGGATGCTCTTTTATATAAAAGATTAACACCAATGATTAAACTATCTGGCGACTACAGAATCAAATTAAGACAACCATGCCATCTAATATTGTTCTGCACTGTTCGCCATTAAGTCAATACATATTTCGAAATTTTCTTAGATAATAAATAGTCTTTGATAGGTGTACACGTAAATGCAAGGTATTTAACCGAAAATTGTAAAGACCTATGTTTTTCACGTAACATTTGTGATTGTAAAACTGTGAATTTGTTAATTAGAATAATATACCTAAAGTATGCGTATGATAATATTTCATGTAAGAATTTAAATTATTTCTGTGTAGATATATAATTGC